TTTTTTTTGCAATGTCACACTTTGCAGACGTACACACGGCTCTACGACTACAAAGTCATGATTGAGCCATAACCAAGGGCGTATCACTGTTGCTTTATCAGATTCTCTATGTAATTCTTTGCAATCATTGTACACGAGGTCAACATGGAGGTCAACATGGAACATGTACAGACACCCTCCACATTAACATGCGATCAATTAGGAGTCCGTGTTCGCGGAGCCAGTGAAAACTGCTTAAATTCTTATATCCGCCTGTCGAGCTACGGATATCATAAACTAGTGCACTATAGATCCTGCCATAGTAACCAAACGACGATTATGCAAAGGACAAAAAAATAATTTCTTATGAAGCCAGCTCAACGTTTTGCCCGTTACATAATTTTTATTGGCTTGTTGTTTTACGACAAGCCGAGGTAAAGTTTTCACAACATATCTGCAAAATAAATTGTCATGGTCATCAAGTCAAAATTCTACATTGGCTGATCAGGTAGCTTTTATGATAATGGAAACACAAAACAGTTATTAGCTGCTCTAACGGGAGATACAAAATTTTTTTCTAGTTCAAATCTTATGCTAAACAATTCAATTATCACGCAGCCATCGTGACAACAGCAGCATGGAAGGCTATTGAAAAAAATTCGGGGAAAAGCAGTGAGTAATCGCTAAACTTCTAACTCCCATGATACGGTGCGATGCTAATGTCCGTTACGATACCATCAATCAACAGTTAATTTCTGTTTCTCCATAGCCATATCTTAAGCTTGGTGGCCGCAACAGCATAAGCTTGCTTTTTTTCCACATGGCTGAAATCATTTGTTGACTATAGAAGGATGAAAGATGAACCGCAAAATTAATAATCCAAGCTCACCTGCCGACTATGAAGTCCTAGCCCCCCTACCTCAGACAGCAAAATTTCTGATCATGCTAAAAATCTTAATATACGACATTTTCTAGCCAGGTTACTTTTCTGGCACGCACCTATGCGATAGATTTTGCAAAAGGACTCCTACTTGATTCTTCACATGCATTGTTTACGAAGGTGGTGTGATCCTAATCTTTGTCATAATGAGGTCATCCAGGAGTTATACTCTCTGAAACATATGTTCGACGCCTCGCAAAAACTCCCTACTTCGTAGCGCGTATTTGAATTCATTTTCCTCTATGATTGAAACCTTATTCCTTTTATGATTGAAACTCACAAAATCTGGATTGTCGATTTAAGACTCTACCAACTCAGCTACTTTAAATGAAGAAACCAACATTTTTTCCATACTAAATTTCTTAAAATTTCTTATTCTGTTAAACGTAACTGTGCTAGCAGCAATACTGTATGAGGCATATTTGTAAAGAAAATTTAGGAACCGTTGAAATCATGCTGTTGTAAAATTGCATTAATTATTCCTTTCTTCATGAAAATATGCTATCGTCATAATCTCAGGCACAGCACCACCAACAACAAGAGCCAGAGTTTTCGAATTCAACGCAAGAACTCAGTAGTCAGTACGGTTTGTGGTCCAATGCTTGTTTCTCTCAGTTATATTGTTTCATCTAGGTTTAAATAATGAATTGCAAACTATCCTAACCTTAACTCAAATCTCTACTGACTGTAATTGCCCTAACCGAACACTCTCAGATCAATTGTCCTACTCAAAATCTTTGAAGCCCATATTCGCTGATTGAGTAGCTCCCTCCTCATACAAACAGCATACTATAGATATTTTGAGACAAGGAACCTTGGTAACCATTGAAATAATAATCTGAGATTTGCACCTTCGTTTCTGAAGCATAGGATGCGGCAATAATTTTCTATATAACGCCATCAATTAGAAATGTCATGTTTTTCAAGGCTATATCTAATGCCTGGTGGCCATTGCAGACTGTAATCTTCTGCTTCTTTCTCGCATAGCTGTTTTAACCTTATGGAAGGGTGAATGGTGAGTTGTCTCAATGAGGATTTAAACCTTTTATCTCGACTGCGAGTTCGGTAGGTTGTTCAAGACCCTTCGGGTGGTATAACCTCAGAAAAGAAGCCTTAAATTTTTCTCATGCTCAAAATCTGAAATTCGTTAACTGACTGATGGATTAACTCCCTTGTGAGCAGAAAAATTCATATTCATTAAAAAAACGTTCTCTTGTACACCTTTATGATTTGCAATATCTGTGTCCATTAAGCATGATGTCTTTTTCCAGAAGTTCCATATGGTTCGTCGATCATTTTAAAGCCTTGTGATCATTATGGTGTGCAATCGTGCTTCCTTCCTGTCGGTTGAAATTGCTTCTATAACGTTGTATTCGTACCCTCATCTCTCGACCAACAGAGCTACTTGAAACGAAAGTATAGAAATTTATGAAAAACTGTATTCAATTTCAATTAACTCTCTTGGCAGATAGAACATACGATAAATGTTTCGAAACAAACTTTCATAATCATTGGAATGTTGATCTCACAATATTATGCGGCCTAATATCTGCGTAATCTCATCAGCCAATGCGTCATATGTTTCAAAGCCTAAATGGTCATTTATGATACTTAGTGATCAATACAGCTTGTGGTCGGTTGCTTTCTTCCTTTGTTACCTACCTTTGGATTCGACCTGTGCGGTGTGAACCCAGAATCCAATCGATTGAGATATCCTAACCATTTCTAAAAAAGCTTGGGATCCTATCGTTCATTTGCCGTTCTGTCTGAGGAATTCAAAGCTGTATTGAGTACTACGTAGTTTTTAACGGTAGCAGTGTTGGAATAGAATGCGCTAAGGAGGTATAGAGAGAATTTTCCAGGTAGACAAAGCGAGGTAAAAAGTCAAGGCGTGAGTGACGACGAAACGACGTGACGCTGGCGCGACGACGAACCTGCGTCGGTCGCTTAATCGGTCGCTTTCGGGCTGTAAAGTCAGAGTCAAGAGAGTGGCGGCCAGAAGGCGAATATTTACTTGGCATATCTGTCACACCGTATCGACGACGACTTCATCGAATGAGTTAAGCCAGCTGGCAGTCGTTCGCAGTTCGCAGTGTCTACCCGGTGAATTTGCCAAGGCAAGGGTGGTCGTTAGCCTCTTTGCCGCTGACCTTCGACCGGTGCACAATAGACGAGGCGAGCTGCGTCGTTTACATTTCCAGATGAGGTTCTGTTGTCACACCGGCGTTGCGTGTACGCAGCATGCAAACAAACCGTACGACACGCTCCAAACCGGATTAGGCGTGAGATGTGCGCCAATGCCAATATCAGTGAGGGCCTCAAGCCGTGTCGTCGGCGTTTGCCCTCCACTTCAAATTACACACCGTCGTTGCCGCTTTGTCCGTGAGACCGACGGCCAAACGGGCTGGGTACCGTACTGTTGGTTTGTGGTTTGTCGATCCGTAGTGATGGGTGACAGTGATAATGGTGGCGCGACGCAGTCATGC